GATGACCAACTGATAGCACAAGACTTTTGGCAAATGCAGCCAAATACTGATGAGGTTCTATTGTAGGGCCTGCTGTGGCTGAGATGGCTCACAGAAAACCTTTCCACCATTGCATCTGGATGTTGTCCAGTGGAGATTTTTGAAGTGGCCGAAGGCCTTTTTATGCAGGCCCAATGGAACAATTGTGGAACACTTGGATGTTCACTGTGACCAATTTGCATTACATTTTTAGATAATTTTGAAGAGTTGAATGCCATAGTTATTACAAAATCAGAGGTGGACATAGCTAGAGCACTGTCTAGGTATGTTGTCACAGGCTCTTGTGTAGCCTGAGAATGTAAGCAAGGTGCTTAGAGGTTTTAGGCCCATACTTGTACTTGCCTTTTCTAGCTAGGGAAATCAACCAGGCTGGGTTTCCAACTTGGACCACTGAGATCGTGAATGCTGCTCTGAGGGAGGGAAGCTTTTCTTGTTTCCCTTAAGGAGGAAATAGTGAGGACTTTCTGGAAGTGGGGTAGAATCTAGTCTGGACTCTACAGTTCTGAACAGCTTTAAGCCAGTGTCTAACTTACTCTCATCCTCTTCAATACCTTGGTCATAAATGGTATCTCAACCCTAGGCCTCCTTTAGCTTTGTGATGTCATCCTTGATTGTTTGGATGCATACCAATTTGGGTCCCGTGCTAGTTTGGGAAGGGAAACAGCCTTGGCTGACCATGTGAATATACTAAGACAGTAATAGAGCATTGGAATGGTTGGTTCTTGGTTCTCCCGGAACACAGGTTGTTAGCACTGAAGTGCATTCAACCCTAATTACACTGGCACACTCCTGATTTACATACATGACTTCTCACTAATGTTGTATTCCATATTAGCTGAATGTGGGTCATAGGTGCTGTTTTTCACCAACCCAAAGAAAGGATCCTGTGTTAGAGAATGCTGTTGGGATTCCCAGCTTGTCTTCTAAGAATTACTACAAGAAGATGATGTGCCAAATTAGTACTGCTATGGTTCTCAAAGGTTCATAAATACTAAATACCAGAAAGCATTGCTTTCCATGTACAGTCACCCCAGGAGCAGAAAGATTTAAATAAATGACTCTTGCTTAGATACCTCTGACATTGTAAAATGAATCACCATTTAGTTAGCGTTTTGAGCTGGCAGGAATAAAAATCCCAGTGTTGGGTAGAGGGGAACAAGCCTGCTTCATAAATTTCACTTGCTCATTATGTCTTATTAAATCTTTATAGAATATTATCCTGGCATACAGAATGCAACTTAGACATAAGCCAAGTTCATAATGCCCAAGCTTCACAGAAATGGACAGCATTCATAATAAATGTCCAGCATATTGAATAGTAGTACTAACAATTTGCCAAATATCCGTGCCACAGTAAGTGAGTGTCTAAGCCACAGAGTTAACTTCAAATATTACCACATTTTTAATGCTCCCCCATATTTAATAAAAAGTTACACTTGAAGAAGAAAGGTTGCAGTCTGGTATAGTCACAAAATTTTCCTATGCTATTTTGCTGGACCTTAAATGTGTTGACATGTCCTGTACCTCAGGTTGTGTGCTGTAGTTCATTGTGAGCTCTCATTTCTGGCTTTATTTTTTTTTTTAAAAAAAAACCCACATGTTTAAACGAGCAGATGTCTTGCTTATTTTTTTTTAAAAAAATAAACAACATGGATATTTTATACATGTTTTCTACATCAAGCAGTATTTTGATGGATGTGGGTAACCAAGGGCATTTTTAGTTTGTGAACAATATTTACATTTGAAATCCTTTGACTAATATTTTGGATTTACATTGTGGTCCTTCAGAATGTACCAGTGATTAATTCTGCTTGTCTAGATTCACATCTCATAAAGGTTGGGGTGATAACTATGTAGCAGTTTTCCCAACGTGGCAACATAACAGTATGACACATTCAGTACATTTTGATTCATCTGTTCAATCACTGGCAAAATTATCTGATGCGCGATCTAACCAGATCCATGACTACATCACTGTTACTGAGCTTTTCACATAGTAAACAGAATATATGAATACTTCTTAATTATTCTCTACTATCCAATTAACCTTGAAATTCCACTACAGGTAAAATCTCTACACCCCTGAAGTGCAGAGTCCTCTGCCAGGAAAATATTAGACAATAACCAGATAGAGATATTGAGAGAAAGATTGAAATTATTTCTTCTGCACCTGTACCCACACAAACAAAACACATACATACACTGTTGTACTATTTTGAGGAATGATTGATTCCATTCTTAAATGGTTCAGTTAGTGGATCAATCCACTTAGGCTCTACCAGTTGGTTAAGATTGGAGACTTTCCTAATGAATTAAGTCTGTGCCAATATTTCATCCCTTGCCCTCAGTCTTTCATTGATCTACATTCCAAGTTACCATCTCATATTTTTCATTCTCAAATATTTCCCATTGGGCTAAGCATATAGACCAGGAGTTAAGTGCCTGAATAATATAATTACAGTGAACATTTTCTGAGGTTGCAGCATCTTAAGTAGAAAGTGGCTACCATTAAAATTTTGTGTTCATTACTTTTAGCTGTGTTTTACAAGAAGACAAGATAAACACAACATGGAAATAATGCGCAGAAAGGGAAAGACAAGCAACCATCCCACAACCCTCATGTTATTGTTCCCTCCACTTGTACCTGTTTAACAGCTGCGGTACGTATTTGAGTATCAGTCGCTTGTGACCACTAAATTTTCACCTAACACTTATAAGTTAAGGAGCAGGGGTTAAGGTGCAACAATTACCTTAGCTTTGCTGGAATGCATTGAATTTTGTAATCAAGAATATATTTAAAGATTTAGATGTGTGACAGTCAATACATGCAAACAAAGCTACCTCTTAAAATGTATTTTCTGGGTTTTACGGCACATCTATTTTAAATTTTAAATGATTGGATGGCAGATGCCATCAGGCCCTATTGATGTAGCTTCTTTTGATATGATATGATACTTACAAATCCATTACGTACTTAATGCCTCACATATAATAAAAATGTAAGAATGTCACAATGCATTGGATGATTTGCAGTACAGCATCGCTTCTTAGTTTTGCAGCTTAGTTATTCAAACATCCAAATCTAGCATTTAGGGAAAGGATAGCCCCATCCATTTTAGCAATGCGTGATTATCCCTTATGAACACTTATGTATCTGATTATTGTAAGGAATAAAAAGTCACCATAGCAAATGAATTTAAACACGTTTGGGGCAGCTTTACAAGCAGGTCTGTGAAACCTGCTTCTGCACCCCATCTATATCTATATCTGTAATCTTTGCCCATTTTGTCCTTAGATGGAACCCCTGGCGAGTCCTTACTCCTTGACTTTTCTGAACAGTAACTTAATGCTGGCTCACTCGCTTTCGCTGATTTCAGAAGGGTGGAATAAGGCATACAAGCCATGTTGTGTCTTAATTCCTTTACTCTAACATAAACCCCGGTTCTCATGACGAGCCCTAATATCATCAAAGCAATTCTTGGTGTAAGGAGATCCCTTGTGCCCCCCCCCAACCCAAACAATAAATGTTTTCTTTTCTTTCTTTCCTTTTCCCTGCTGTGTGTTAGCCTAGATTTTATGCTTCCCTTGGCTGCATGGGCCTTGTTTTGTTTTCACGGCTCTTAAAGGCAAATTCCCTGTTCTAAATGGCATGTCAACACTGGTGTCCTTGTGTCCATTTCCCTTCTGTCTCTTGATTGATATTTTTAGGGCAGATCCCCCTCCCCAACATCTCAGCATGAATTTACTGTGGCAGAGCATAAAGCTGTCACTCAGTTGATTTCTTCTTCTTTGTGTTTCACGAATCGATGGCTACTTAGGGAGAGTGACAATGCCTGAGGAGGGGGGAAAAAACCTATTGACTGCAGATTTTGGACACTTTGGGTTGACTTTTAGATTCACGTACTCCCTGCGCACTCCATGTTGCTCATTTGGGCATGTTGGGCTGGCACGTTGGGCTGGCACATTGTCCATTTTGCTATGTTTCTTCTCTCTCAAACAGAGAAATTAAAGGATTTCATCAATTACCATCAGAATTTACTGCTGTATCTGATGAAAGGGCTGCTGGTTCCTTTGATTAGAAATACCAGTTTGGGAATACCACAATGTTCACTAAGTCTAAAACAAAGTCAATGTTGTTGTCATTGAACAAAGAGTCTGATTGTAACAATTCCAACTTGTGTTGGAACGGCCATTTGTAATTTACAGCCTGATCCAATGTGTTTTCACCTAGATGCAAATGCCTTTGTGTTCAATGGGAGAGATTTCCAAGTAAAGGTGAACAGTATTGTATGTTAGGCATTGGTGGCATGTCATGTTTTGTTGCAAAGCACGTACACAAACAATATTTTTTGCCTGGAAAAAGACAAATTGTTTAGCGGGATAATGGATATTCTGTGAGAATTATGGTAAAAATAGTTTTATAAATTGGTGACTTTTGAGATTGTATTTTAAGGTTTTTATACATTTTTAGAAAGGTTTATAAAAAAATAAGCATGGTTTGTCCCATTTCTTATAGGAAAGCCCCTGTTCTGGCTAAAAGTGTGCCAGGTATTTAGACTCTTCAGCATATTTGAGATTGGTTCTTTTTTAGTTTTTCCGTGGCAATACAAGAGCCACGTCTACAGCCAAATTCTTCTTTCTCCATGAACCCCTTTCCCTAGTGTAAGACAAGTGGGAATCAATACTCCTTTTCTGCCAGCATTGCATTCAAGCGATTTAGAGATAATTCGTTCCATTAATTCTCAGTGAAAATAGGTGCAGAATAACTGGCTTGTGTTTGAAATGCCTGAATTAAAAATAACTGTAGAATGCGTGTGAAGACTTCAGTTTGCAAACTATATGGTTACCACAATGGGGTTGGGAATGGGAATGCCCATAGCCAGGAAGAGGAAAAGTTGAAGACTGTGTTGTTTCTGCATCCCTTTACATCAGCCTTTGCCAATTTGCTGACCTCCAGATGCTCCTGTCATGGATCAGTTGATAGAGAATGAGACTCTTAATCTCAGGGTTGTGGATTCAAGCCCCACATCAGGCAAACTATTCCTGCATTGCAGGTTCTTGGACCAGATGCCTCTCATGGTCTCTTCCAACTCTATGATTCTATGACTTGGAATACAACTTCCATCAGCCCCAGCCAGCATGGCTGATGGGAACTGTAGCCCCAAATATTTGGAGGGCACCACGTTGGCGAGGGTTGCCTTACATGAATATCAGTACCAGTCTGCAAGAAAAACTTGTCGGGGTGCAGCTGTATAAAACAGGGGTCAGCAAACTTTTTCAGCAGGGGGCCGGTCCACTGTCTTTCAGACCTTGTGGGGGGCCAGACTATATTTTGAAAAACGTATATGAATGAATTCCTGCGCCCCACAAATAACCCAGAGATGCATTTAAATAAAAGCACACATTCTACTCATGTAAAAACATGCTGATTCCTGGACCATCCGCGGGCCAGATTGAGAAGGTGATTGGGCCACATCCGGCCCCCGGGCCTTAGTTTGCCTACCCATGGTATAAAACAAAAATGATAACATTTGAACGTGCCTTGTGTGACTCAGTGTAATTTCATGGCACAGAGGTGGGGATTTCTAAATCTGATTTAAACATCTCTTGTGAAATTGGTTCCAGCTCTTCTGTATATATTACACTTCAGCCACAAGAGCTTAATAAATGGTTATGGTTCCTTAACTGCACATATTTACCAACATTCACAAAACACATTGCCTCCTTGTGCCGAATATGAATGCAAGAGCACAAAAATGCAGGTAAATATAAGAGAGCAGATGGTGCTAGAGGAAAAAAAGAAAAGAAAAACCTTTCCCTAGATCTTGAGCCAGTATTCCTGGATGTTTTATATTGCCACTGAGTGTAGTAACTGTAGACCTTCACGCTGCACAGATGGAAGTGTGAGTTTGAGGGCTATTGAGCATGTGGATTTTCCCAGTGTGTCACAATTACGGAAACATCTGTGCTAAATAACTTCAAGCTGATCCACGGCAAAAATTGGCAATGTTCAATAACCCTCAATATCCCTTTCCCCCTGAGGTGCGATAGCTTGGTGGCTGTGAGTTGGGCTGCTTCGTAAGCCATGTAGCGGCAATAATTCAGGCCTTATGTAGAGGGCTCTCTTGTGGTCTGTTACCTGTGAAGCCCATATGCTATTTTTCTTCACTGATTTATATACAGACTTGTTTTCAAATGTGCTTCACACCTGGAGCTCACGTTGTCTTGCTGTCTGAGAGATTTTGCAGTGATGGTGACCAGGATAGACCTTCTCTCTCTCTCTCTCTCTCTCTCTCTCTCTCTCTCTGCCTTTCTTTCTTTCTGTCTGTCTGTCTGTGTCTGTGCATATTTATAATAAATACGTTATACAAGCATAACTTTGAAAACTCCAAGTGGCAGTTTTGCAAGTGTATTAATTCAACAGGACTATATCACTACACAAACTACGGGAAATATTTAGGTCACACTTTATACATATTGGTTACTCCCCCCCCCCCCCCAATGTCAGCCTTCCTTAATTTCCCTATTTTCAGTCCTCAATTTGATTTACACATCTTTTGGCTCATCACAGCACTGCCATATGTTTTTTGCTATTCTGTGGCTCATTGTACTATTTTTGCCAGTTTGGATTCACCCCAACTCACTACCCCCCAGACAGGGTGCCACTATCAACAGTAGGAAAGCTTTTGTAGGCTCTGTGTGGCATCCAGAACTTGTGTTGGAAATTCTTCATTTCAGCCAATTTCCTGAAAGTCACTCTCTCAGTGGGATGGAACTGTGATTGCTAGCTTCCTGACAGGAGTGTTGCTGCTGCTTACTGGGAGGGGCGAGGTAGTCAGTGTGGTACAGGCACACCAGCAAAGCTCCTGCTGGTGAACCCACATTGTACCTCTCTGCTGGTTTACATCTCTCTCTCTGGATAAGCAGCAGTGACACAGTTGCTGGAAAGTTGATATTGCAGCTCTGCCAGGTGAGCCGCTCCTGATCGTTCCTTTATTTCAGACCACTGTGTCTTCTTTCCCTTTTCATGGAGTGGCCTACTAACACCTATTTTCTCTCTATATATTTCCACTGAAACTAAGGTCTTTTTAAAAAAGTAAAGGGACCCGTGACCATTAGGTCCAGTCGTGGCCAACTCTGGGGATGCGGCACTCATCTCGCTTTATTGGCCGAGGGAGCCGGCGTACAGCTTCCGGGTCATGTGGCCAGCATGACTAAGCCGCTTCTGGCGAACCACAGCAGCGCACGGAAACGCCATTTACCTTCCCAATGGAGCGGTACCTATTTATCTACTTACACTTTGGCGTGCTTTCGAACTGCTAGGCTGGCAGGAGCAGGGAACTAGCAACAGGAGCTCACCCCGTTGTGGGGATTCAAACCTCCGACCTTCCGATTGATCGGCAAGTCCTAGGCTCTGTGGTTTAACCCACAGCGCCACCCGTGTCCCAATCTTTAACCAGACACAAATGCATACCCACCAAGTCTTCTGGAAAAAAAGGACACCTGGGTTGTTGTTTTTTTGCATGAGATTGCAGTGGCCATTTTGGGTGATGTGCTCTCATGCCACGCTCTCACCCCCCAAAAAAGTGCTTTTTGGAGGGCCATGATCTCATACAGTGCCCCAAAACACACACATTTTGGTGCTGCACAAGATCTCACCCCGAAAAAGCACTTTTTTGAGGCAAGTTCATTTTGATCTTGAGGCAAGGTCATGCGTCCCTGTTTTGGATCTGAAAAAGTTGGGTGGTATGCAAATGTGCAGGCACACATGAGTGAGAAATCACAGCAACACTGGGCTGCATAGTCCATGTAGATTCCAATGGGGAATACTGACTGTGAGATATGAACGTGTGAAATTTCTTTCATAGCTATGGAAGTGCTTGTGAAAAGTTGATAAGCAAATAGAAGACTGAAAGATAACAAGGAAGGAACTTTTCTTTTCCCATTGATAGCGAAACCCGCTTGAAGGCACCCCCCACTCCCTGTTCCTGAGTTTGTCTGCCAAGTGTAACAACATCAAATGACGCTTTCCTTATTTCCCCATAGCAACAAACTCCTTGGCCCGAGTCAGAGCATTCCCATATTGTCAATTGGAAAACATCCCATATAACTCTGAAGAGCACACAGTGCTTTCTTCGGTGCAATCATCTTCATTTTCTTTCTTTCTTTTTTTTAAAATGGCTTATGTACCAAAGGCAAGTTATTTATATCAAATGCAAAGGATGGCACGATGACAGCTGAGTGTTTGAAATTCTCTGCAAAATTCCACAAATCTGTCCTCTCAATTGACTTTATGTTCCACTTGAAACAGCTGTGAATTTTAATGCCATATTTAAATTAAAAGCATACTGATAAAGTAACATGCAGGAATTTGATAACTGAAAAGAGAAAATATGTAACATGCTATGTGACACATTTTGGGTGCCTTTGATGTTCAACTGAAAGTGCTAAATAAGTGATGGAAAACAAGTGAAAATAGCTTGAGTAACCTTATGTGGAAACATATTTTAAATCCCCAAAGTACTAGTAACTTTGTGAAAAAAGGTCTTCTGTAAAAATGATTTATCTTACGGAGATTATTGCAATAAATTAAAAGAACAACAGTCAAATGTTTGAGCTGCTACAAACTGGGAAATGAAATCTGGCTATAAGTCCGAAGATGTAAGTTCTATTCACATTTAAACTCACTTTGAACTTGTCACAGGACTCACAATCAAAAGATCTGTTATGAATTGGCATCTGGTCAATGAACAGGAAGCAGAGTAGGAATAAATGGACAGTTCTTAGAATGAAGGTCCCCCAAGGATTTGAATTTGGGTCAGTGCTTTTTAATTTATTTTCAAGTAGGACATGTTGGGGCAACAGATCTGAACTTCACATGTACACAGAGCTGGCAGTGACTAAACAGAAAATGGAAATGGGCATCATGGTGGACATTTCAATGCAAATGTCAACAGAATGTGCAGCACTATGAAAAAAGAAAATTCTATGCAAGGGGTCATTGGGGAGTTTATTAGCATTGCACTTCAGCTCGAGAAAGGGAGAATCCTCTAGATCAAACTGATTTGCCTTGCTATTCAGCCTCCACACAGAACCTGTGTGTATAAGTGTGTGTGTGTGTGTGTGTGTACAGAACTTCTCATCATCTCATCTTATAAGAAATCCAGCCTGATTTATACTGACATAGCACAGAACAGATTTAGGCCTGCTGTTTTCCATGTGAAATGCAAAACCCAGTCCCTGTAAAACCCAACTTCCGAAAACAGTTGTGAGTCTCAGGATGTTAATCTTGGTGTCCTGGATACATTCCAAATCAAGTAATTACATTTTATTTACCCAACGTTCCCCAACAGTTTCGGCTGGAAATGGAATTCATCTCAACAGTTGTGCAGCATTGGTGTACGCTTCAAAACAGCTGTTGTGCTCCACTCTACTCCAGAGAGGCTTTCATTTCAATGGTGAGTGACATGATGACTATATATTCCTCATTTGTGAGGCTTAGGGGTCTTTTGAAGCTTAATTAGTAAACGTTCATAAAGTGCTGTAATTAAAAGTGATGTAAATGTGCAAATTATCTTGATCTGAATAACATGAGGGATGTGTAACATGAATAAAAAAGAACCTTTTTTCAGACAAGAGGTCTACTTTTTTCTAAGAAAATTACAAACAAGACCATCAAAATATGGCACCTGCAATCTAACTTTATCTCGGTTGCAACTTTGGGGCAGCTTGATGACCACAAAGGAGGAGCTGAAATGTATGTCAGGTTCCTAGATGCTGAAGAACCAAGTGTAAATATTCAGAAGGAGAAGCTTGTGGGTATATCAATTGCCTGCTTTAAGTGCAGGATAGCTAATATCAGCTGTTTGGGAGAAATTAGCAGAAGTTATGTTAATTTCAATTAGTGCAGGGTGGGAAACTGTACTTGTTGCATAAGCTCAGTTGTATGAATATTATATTAGCAGGCTCCCCTGCTCCCAAGCCTTTATGTCACTGTTCCACAAAGATATCAAGGTTGCCATTCTTCAACCTATC